ATCCTCTCACACGGCCAGCATGGTAACTCGCGAACGGGTTTTATTGATAATGTCGCCCTCCACCTTTGTCGCTGAATGTAGGGCTTCCAGGATTCCTGGACCAGGAACCACCTGTGAGGTGGTCCTGTGTCACATCCAGCGACTTTGCGACACTCTGAAACACGCGTAGATGTTTCAACGTACCAAAATTGGCATTTCAAGAAGGCAAAGCCGAAGAATTGCCATGAAATCTACAGCACAGTTCGTCTGGGTTCTCCAATCGCAAGAGGGGAATCTTAGCTTGACCATACTTTCGCACTATGACAAAAGATCAACCCTCGCCACCACGTCGACGGTTAATTACACAAGGTAATCGTATTAACAACAGGAAAGCCGTCCATGTGCACTCTACTATTCAGGGAAAGCGGTATCGCATAGAGCGCCAAGAAAAGATTCTTTTACGAACACTATCAGCAAGAGTAATCCAAGCAATTCCCCGTGACTGAGCTCTTGAGATCTCCGATGGAGGCTAGAAGATGGAAAATGGCATCGTATAGGTGTAAACTCGACATATGACAATTTGGAGTTGCACAAACGAATCGATGCGCTCGAGGAGGAGGTCGCTGCTTTGCAACGACAAGTGGCTGAAAAGGACCGGGCACTACGAGCGATGAGTAGGTAAGACACTGGCAGACTGGCATCAAATTCATTATAAACTCGAATGAGTTGAGACTGTCTACTACCATACGGTTAATTCGTGCTTCGAGGGGAAGACTCAAAACCCATAAAACTTAACAACGAACAACAAGTTCGCTGCTGAACTCGTCGCATGTGATCCTCTCACTGAAATGGGTACAAGCACAGACTCAAATATGGAGTTACTGCTGCAGAGTCTACCCATCATTCTTTGGGCGATCAACACGCATGTATTACGTCGTTTAAACTTGTTCATCTATACCGGCTAAGGGCGTCGTAAAGGGTCTTATACTATCCCTAGGCACCACGCAGAAGAGCTACGCGAGGAGGGAGACCGGCTTCGGGCCGAGTTGGATCGCCCAGAGAGAGATGCCCAGCGGAATGCGTCAGAATGCGTATGCAGGCTTATTCGTCGCCGGAACATATACTAACCATTTTAGGTGGAAAAGAGCTCAGTAAATTCCTGCCAGATGGGAGGGTTAGAACTGCAACGGAAGACTAATGAGCTGGAGTGAGTGAAAGCGACAGTGTCATCATTAGCTGTTGCTGACAGGGACCTATCTCGAGTGCCCAAGGATTCCCCCCAGGTGGGTTCGTGAATGCTTGCCCGTTCGAATTGGCTATGGTTCAGCATAAGAAGGTTGTACTCGAGCCGAAGGAGATTGAGCAATACAGGGCGGACTCTCTCGGGCGCGTGAAGATCAGGGAGTAGCATGCTGCGTTTGATAGTGCGGAGTAGCTGTACGCTCATATGTGGCTTATTAGGTTGAATATCAAAATGGTTGTTTTCTTAGGGAAGGGAGGAGCTCCGTTTGGTTGATCAGATTCGCGCATGATATGGAGAGACTACGCAACAAACTGAAGGAGTCGGAAAATGACAAGTATAAGGCTCGAGCCGAGTTGAGGGAAGCGAAAGAGTTGAAATTGGCTGCTCTGAACAAAGCTAGGAAAATGAAGTCCGAAATGGCTAAGGTGGGATTACAGCTGGACCTGAGCTGAAGGGCGGGAGCGCTACTAGGTTCATGAGAAGAATGAAGAGCTCTTCAAATGTTGTAAAGTACTCTACCAGCAGTTGGGCGAGCTGAACACGCCCTTCGCACTGGAAGCCGATACTGAGAGATCCACGATACGGAGGGTCGCTCTATCGCCTAACACTGAGAGGACGTATACTATCACAGATGCTTGCCGTCCTGAGCCCACTGCAAGGAGTGTTGCGAGGTGAGCCTTCGGGCGCGCGCGTGGAGTAGGAGATCTACATGCAGGGCTGGAAGGGGCTCTGAAGCTTCTACTAGTTGCCCGCCGACCTCAAGGGAAATGCTATTGGAATCTCAGCTGAAACGAGTGACGCAGAAGTTAGAGGAGATGAAGAGGACAGCACTTATTGTGTTGCGATCGAGGTAAGGCCGATCCACTTCGGTCTGAGATTGCCTCGGTGCAGGTCCTTAATTGAAGAATATTTGCATGAGGTGATTGCGGACTGTCGAGCTCAAAAGGCAGCACCGGCAGGCTCGGCTTCCACTGCTGCACGCATGCTCAAGGTAGGATACGACTGTTGGAGAGAAATCGGCTTGTCAATGGGGCGCCTTGTTTCCAGGGGGATAAGAAGACTAGTAGAGGTCGACGTCACGAATTACAACGAAGTATTGTTTCCAGTCCAGGTAAGATGTTGTGCATGCGTGCTACTACCTGTTGAAGGCAGTATAGTTATGTTAGGATCGCATGAAGAAGAGGCTACTGAGCATGGCACAGAGACCTTCCTCACAGGAGGTGTGGAGCAAGGGTATAGTGATGACGAAAAGAACGAGGATGAAAGGCTCAATGAGGTGGGTTGATACCACTCTTCCGTCACATCCTACTATCACAGGACTCATGGTCTCAGCGTCCACGAGGGATCCCAGCCCTGTCGCTAGAAGGAATCAATAGATCAGCATTATACGATGTGGATGAGCTGGCGAAGGCGCTTGATAAGGCTAGACTGCGAGAGGGGGTTGTTGATATTGATATCGGTCAACTTACTTGGGATGCCAAAGAACATATCCTACGGATGGTGAGTATCTTCGTGCACGCACGGTGAAGATTTTTCCAGTATACTCCTCATTCCCTCTTGATGAAAAGGGATTCCCTTTTCCTCCCTCGCGTTTTTCATGCCTCCATTCTCTTCAGCTATTCCAACGGATCAACAACGACCCCATGGCTTCTATAAATAAACAGGGTCGCGCGAGGCTGCGAGCTCAGT